TTAATATAAAGTGTAAAGTGTAAGGTTGAGATTCATTTCTTTTGAATTACCTATTGAATTGCCTTTTGCAACTTTCTTAGAAATCAATTGACCATATTTGTGTGAACTATTTCTGGAAAGTCTCTTCTGTTTCATTGATCTGTATGTCTTTTTCATCAACAATGCTGCATTATCTTGATAGGGTCATTTCATAATAAGTCTTAAAATAGGGTAGTGTATCTCCTTCAAATTTGTTCTTTTTTAAAAAAATGTGTTTTGGCTATTACAGTTTCTTTGCTACATTTTAGGATCCTCTTGTCTATATCTATAGGAAATCGTGCTGGGAATTTGAGTGGAATTATGTTACATGTATGGATTATTAGAGAAGCATTGACATCTTTACCATGTTGTATCTTCCAATAATAATCATATTAATGTCTTCATTACATAAGCTTTTTTGATTTATGTAATCAGTTTTTGTAAAGTTCAGTATACAGATTCTATACTTGTTTTTTAAAGCATAATTTGCTAAGTATTTGATTTTTATGGAACTGTGAGAAATGCATTGCTTTTGCAATTTTGATCTCCAATAGCGTATTTCTAGAATATAGAAGTATAATTAATTTTTCTGTGGGACCTTGAATGTGGCAACATTGCTTAACTTACTTATTAGTTCTAAGAAGTTTTCTTTAATTCCTTCCTACTTTCTAACTACATAATATTATCTAAGAATACAGTGATATTGTCTGTATTTTTTCCCATTTCTTTCTAATCTGTGCGTCCTTTATTTTTCTTGCCTTATTGAACAATTAGGACTTTCAGTGCAATGATTAATAGAAGTGGTAAATTTTTTCAGTGTTTCACCAGTACTATATTAGTTATACCCTTTGTTTTTTCATAGATGCCCTCAATACAATTGAGAGTTTTTTATTCTTATTTGATGAGAAATTTATCATTAATAGATGTTGAATTTGTCAAATGCTTGATATGTCTTTAATATTTCTATTTTTACTAGTTCACTAGTATAGAAAAACTATTTTGACTCCTTTTACTATCCATTTTCAATTCAACTTCTTTAGGCACATGTAAGTAGCTGTATCAAATTCATCAACTTCCATAAAAGAAGAGCTTTCCCAATTTTAGCCAACTTGGTTCAGTTTTAGTAAGTGCTTCCTTCCACTTTCTCAAAGAAACTAATTTTTCAAATTATGATGTGATCTTTATAGTTCTAAAAGGATGAGCAAATTTTAGAAGATATTTTAATATTAACTACTGCTGATAATTTTTTAAATTTTGAATATAATATAAATTTACTAGAATTTGCTGAATACTACTAGAGAAAAGCATAGAGGCAAATAATTAAAGAAATCATTCATATCCACTTTGTGGGTTTGTTTGATAACTTGTTTATTTCTTTGCTTTCTGTACAAATGAAAGCAAAGAATATCTAATTTTTTATAATCTTCATCAAAGAAAATAACAAGAAAGAAAAAATCAAAATAAGAGGGCATATTCAGTTTTATAAGTAAGTTCAGGTCTTTTATGCTATGAGCAAATAATCACAAAAACAAATTTCTGTCTTTTAGCTCCTGACTTTGAAATAGATTAAAAAGGTATCTAAAACTTTAGAACTTTTCTGTAATTACCCACCAATTCAGGGTACACATATTTTAATGCTATATTATGTGTTTTTAAAATAATAGTTAAACTGTGTTCAATTTGAAGGGGAAAAATCTAGTGAATAGTTTGTGTGGAAAAATATAAAGGTTTTAGAGTTATAAATATTCACACTTAATTACTCTGCTGGGACTTAGAAAACTATAAGTATGTGACCTCAAATTTTACTTTCTTTCTAAACTTAAAAGATAATTTATAAATTTACCAGGTAGAAGTAAATTTTTAAAAAATTCCTTCTTGTTTAAAGTATTATATAAGTCTCCTTTTTCCCCCATTGACCTCTCCCTGGCCACCCCCGCCCCCCAGCACATGCCCTCACCCCCCCTACTGTCTGTGTCCATTGGTTATGCTCATATGCATGCATACAAGTCCTTTGGTAGAAGTCAATTTTTAAGTACAATATTGAAAAATATCTGAAAGCCCTTCTACTTCTAAATTAAATGATGTGATAAATATGGCTATTTTTCTCTATTTTTCATTTTTCTATGCAAATACTGTTATTTTATATTCAGGTTATTTTAAATGAGTTTTCTGACATCCTTGGAGTCTGTATAATGAAAATGTTATTTTCTATAATAAAGCCAGTGTGGTTTTCTTATAGTGAATTATTATATATTTGTTAAGATAAAATGGCTGTTTCATTATGATAATTATGAATACACACAAATCTCTCAAATTCCTACCCATTTTAATGGGTGAATGCAGTCATTACTAGTAACTTCTGTTATTGTGCTACTGATTAAATTTTATGTTTGAAAAAATGTTCTTTGTGAAATTCTACAATAATAAACCAATTACTTTTAACAATTTCTGTATTTTTAACTCCCTCATTTTTCTTCCTTTATATATATATTTTTCCTTTTAATTATTTTCCTTTATTTTTTCTTGCTTTTCTCACTTCTGTTATTTTTCTTCCCTCTCTTTTCTCAAAATTCCCCCTTTTTTCTAACTTCCTCTTATTTTTCTATTTTCCCCAAAACTGTATTTGGTAGCAGTTCATCTGATATTGATACATTCATAAAACACACAAACACACACATGCTTTTGCATAATCATATTTAAAAACAGCTTTTCACTCAATGAGAATATGTTTATTTTTGCTTGTCTCTTATTTTACTTAAACTCCTTAAAACTTTAATAATTTGCAAACATTTTTAAATACTATCCTGATTAGAACAGATGAAGAAAAGTTTCCCCAATGTGTCTCCCTGTGTCAATTTCTTATAAGACTCCATTTAATTAAAGCCATCGAAAACACAAGATTACTTTTAATAGCACTTCTATTTCTCATTAGAGTTTTGGCTTTTCAGATTACATTTTACTCTCTCCTTAATACCCAGGATTCTCATTTTCTGAAATGTTCTAAGACATTTATCCTGAACTTTGAACTGAAATCATATGTATACATATTCTGACCAATTCAAAAGATGAACTAGCCCTGGCTAGTGTGGCTCAGTTGGTTGAGTGTCATCCCATGCACCGAAAGGTCACGAGTTTGATTCCTGGTCAGGGCACGTGCCCAGGTTGAAGGCTTGATGTCCAGTAGGGAGCTTGCAGGAGGCAGCTGATCAACGTTCCTCTCTTACATCCATGTTTCTCTCCCTCTCTCTCTAAAATAAATTAAAATATATATTTTAAAAAGATGAACTATATTTTATTACATTAAAATGTGGAATTTCAACTAATTATAGTTTCAAAAATTGGAAAAATGCTTTTGCAAACATTTTTGCCCCTCATGCTGGTTTCCATTATCTTTATTAGATCTTTAAGTTATTCTTAAAAATGGATAGTTTGTTATTTTGAAAACAAAATAGGTGCTTTACAGAGCCTGTGGAAAAATAAAACATGTCAATGAAAAATGTATGCCATCAACTACTAGCTAAACAGATTAGGTGTGAGAAATGAATCGTCTTTGTTTACCCACATTTTCACATTTTTTTGGAATAAAATTCATTTGAACAACAAAAGATTACAAATTAAGATATTTGTAAGGGGTTTCTTCTGTCCCCAAACTTCTAACAGACATTGCAACTTAATGCTTTAAGATGTTACTCTTAGCATGCCTCCCTTCCCCCCAGGAATATTTGGAAAAGCCAAATAACTTAAATTATTACACAGGGAGAAAAAGAGTACTGTTAACATAAATTAGGGTTATTTATAAGGAAAACACATATTGCACTACATTAAGCCTTACCTTGGGCCCTCTGCTTCATGAATTGCATGCTCCTGTGCCACTGATACTCGCATGCTGGATGATCTTGTACGAACCCATAGCTGCTTAATGACGTGATATGAAGTGATGCAGAAAACAGGAGAACCTTTGTCCTGGAGTCAGCTGCAAGAAGTAACGTGTATGAATGTACAGTATAGGGAGATCTATGAAAGATCTAGTCTCTTTCTCCCAAAAGACTCTGTTCCATGATACAAGGAGAATTCAGTTCTTCTTGGCAGATCTCCAGGTCAGTTTGGAGGCAGTAAAAACAACCACAGAAAACAAGCCTGGTTTCTCACTGTCTTTACTCTCGGTGTTTTAAGTAACATTTTATTTCTTATTTTTCTTTTACTTTGTTTTTAATAACCAGGAAATAATACATCTTTCCATTGTCTGGTGTGAGTACAATTTTTATAGTAGAGATGTAGATGAGGATGAATTATATGGGCCCGGCTTATCTATTTATTTTATTTTTTACTGAATTTATTGGGGTAACATTGGTTAATAAAATTATATGTTTCAGGTGTACAATTCTATAATACATCATCTGTATACTGCATTCTATGTTTACACCCAACATCAAGTCTCCTTTCATCACCATTTATCTCCTTTTTACCTTCTTCTACCTCCTCCCACCCTCCTTACTCTGGCAATTTGAAGGAAAGGATCAGTATCTCTTAATTGAGGAGTGGATGACTTTAAAATGATATTACATCAAAGAAGGCATAGAATCCCAGAAGATTATGTAATTATGTTAAAAATGAGTATTATTAAATAATTCACACTTTTATTATGGAGAAATTAGGTCATTTTTCTACTCCTCCCACAAATATCCAATCTTAATATCTAAATAATGAAACAACACAATGTTATCCATCCTGGTGCTAAGAGAGAATGCCAGTTATGACAGGCTCATTGTTTACTTTAACAGGTAATTTGTGGACCGGAATCATTTAATTGTTCTGAGTACATAATTACATGTCAGCAATTTCCAATTTAATTAAAATGTACAAATCTGAAGATTAAGGGAATTTTTGAATTATTAATCATTTTTCCACTAGGAAATCTTGTTGCTCTGCAGGAGATTTGTCCAGTGTACAACTATACGTATTTTTTTCCTTCTCTTTCACAGACAGACAATTTTCCCGCAGAGCCCAATTACATGGGCAGCAGGCAGCAGTTTGTTCAAAGGTAAGGCCTATTAAATAACTTTCTCAGCTTCCCCATTTGCATTCGTGTCAAAATTGCTTTGCAAGTAACCACACCAGACTCAAACTCGTAGAGACACCACTTTCTCTTCTTTGTCTTTATATGTATTTCAGTAGCTCCACGTTTAAGGACCCAGAAAGAGCCAGCCTGAGAGACAGTGGGCACGGGGACAGTGATCAGGCTGACAGTGACCAAGACACTAACAAAGGCTCCTGCTGTGACATGTCTGTTAGGGAGGCACTCAAGATGAAAACTACTTCAACTAAAAGCCAACCACTTGAACAAGGTGAGTGAAGCCTTCCAATGCTTACCAAGTGTAAAGCTTAAGCGATCATTATGAACCAATTAGCACTGGAGTTGCAGTTTATTATGGTGGAATGGACCATTAATGAATCAAAAGAAATAGCAAATCCCAACTTTGTCCCAGACAAAGAGCAACTATTCAAGTACCTCAGAAACAAGAGAGAAAGAAAGGCCATAGATAGTGGTCTATAATCTTCTTAACATGAGAACTTGATTAAGTCACTAGATTTGTTCTTCATAAATGCTTCCTAACTTTTCTTATTTTGCATTTTATTTACAAGCAAGATATGGCATATATTACCTAAATATGCACATTCTAATATACTCATTTTTAGGATTAAATTAGTAAATTCAACACATTTCGGTAAAATGAAAACTTGATTGGAATTGTATAGGTCTAGCATGTTGTTGTATTTTTAGAGTGAATTTTAGTTTTTAAAGAGTCAAATAATAGCTAAGTCAGAGTTTTTGCTCCTTTTGTTTTGATTTACATTGAAGTCTTCATAGATATCAAATAAGAATGAGCATGTTTACTCAGAGATGAAAATATATTTCTTAATAAATACATACATTCTAAAAGTCCACCTTTAATTTATTCATTTGATATGCCTTTTATTAATTTTATGTTTTCATTGTTTCAAGCATGATGGAATATTTGCTGATGATTTACCCAAAGAGAATTAAACTACTTTCATGTGTAAGAACTAGAGACCATAGGCTTTTTTCTAATGTCCAATTATAACAAATGAAAAATTAATTGTTTTATAAATTGTATTTCAGAATTTCAGATGTATTTTACATTAGTTAATATAATATTAGTTTTCAAAATAGTCATGATATTTAAATATTTAATATTTATCATTTCAGTTTTTAATGAGAAACTTGATTTATACATATAAACACAGCTGCTAAGTCATTTATTAATTGATGATTCATAGAAAGTAATTTTTTGCCTGTAGTGTACTCTGTCCTAGCACATATAGCTTAGTGGATATAATGTTTACTAACTTTTCTAATAATATTCAAATTTTAATACAAATATACATACATAAACATCTATTTAATACAAAATAAGTAAACATAGATATAAATATTTCTGCACTGAATATTATTATGCTGGATTTATTTTAAGGTTGACCTCCCCAAGGACTTCTTTTCTAAGTAGTAAGTGCTAGATAGATAACTTTCTTCTGAACTTTTACCATCACAATTTTCTGTGTTAACAGAAATCTTGTTTTTTTAAATTTTTTTAACAAAAGCCATATATATATTGATTTCAGAGAAATATATATATATATATATATATATTGATTTCAGAGAAAAAGGGAGAGGGAGATAGAAACATCAATGATGAGAGAGAATTATTTATCAGCTACCTCGACATGTGCCCTTGACCGGAATAGAACCCGGGACCCTTCAGTCCGCAGGCCAAAGCTCTATCAACTGAGACCCTTCAGTCCGCAGGCCAAAGCTCTATCAACTGAGTCAAACCAGCTAGGGCTAACAAAAGCTACTTAAATACTTATTTAATATTCACAGTTCCTGCAAATTTGAATGTTTACTTGAAAGTGACTTAAATGTCTTTATGGGTTGTGACTATGCGATATTATGTAAATCTTTTAGATACATTTTAAATAATGGGTTGTTGAATCTTGATATGTGAATGAATAGCATAAGACAGACCCATTTATGTGTATAATAAAGTAATTAAGCAGATGATTTTTTGGCTACTATTTGTACAGTTGCATATGGTAAGTAAAGAGTTTGCAGTTATTGTCTATCTTCATGAGATTCCAATTTTCCTTTCTTAATCAAAAATATAAACAAGTACACTGCTGCTCACATTAATACTTTAATTCCTTTCATGAACTAACTGAACAGTGTATTTGATGAGCATGAAAAAGACCTCTATAGAAAAAGAAAGTTATGTATGTTTGAAAGTTTAAATTATAGTAAAAACATGATTTTAAAAAATTGATATCAAAAACAATATTTTAGAAAGGTGACTACTGTTCTTAAAAGAAAATATATTTGGCATACATTTTAATTAATATGATACACAAATATTGCTAGTCTAAGGGTGAGAATGCCAGTAGAAATATCTCCTGTAACACAAATAGTTTCCAGATCTCCTTATTAATAAATATGGGGAAATTATTATAAATCTGAAAACTATACTTAGGTAATCAATGAATTATATAGGATATGGACTTCTACTTTGAAACATGAACTTGAAAGTTTAGCTTAAATAATCTTTCATTGAATGATTGCATTCACTAATGCACTCATTTAATTAATATCTATTAAAATTTTTAATATAAAAGGAACAAAAATATATTTCCTTTTAGGAGCAAGAAATTAAAAGCTAAACAAAAGAAACCTGTTTATCAGGTTTTTTTTCTCTTACTAAAATTTTGTAGTAGTGCTTTAACAGATTTCAATTAGAAACCAGTAGCATATTAAATTTTATATTTTTTGGCTTCCATCACTATTTAAATGATCTCAAATAAGAAAAATAGTTCTATTTCTAAATTGAAATATTTCTTTAACTTAGAAATTCAAATACATTAAAAATAATCTCCACATTTTTAGTGGAATCTTTTGTGCTAATAATTGTTTTCCTTTGCCTATGATTAAGCCTTTTTGAGCTTTTGATTTATTAGCTCAAATATTACTTTTTCTCCTCTTTTGTGCAGTTAGATTTTTTCCATTTGTTTTGTTCCTGATATTTGTTTATTTTTTCTACCATCAGTATAATCATCTCAAATATATAGCAGGAGTATATGTTGCCCATTATTTTAGTAAAATATTTGAAAGGAATCAGTAGTGTATTACACAACAGCTAAAGATAGCTTTTAGGATTTTATGTTAATAAACTATTTAATAGAAAGGGGTTATTTTAGTTTCTCTTAGTGTGATTAAAAAAACTCTCAAAAAGTATTTATATTTTTCTATTTAATTGCATTTTTGTGTTATTTTTTTTTTTGCAATTAGATTTTCTCTATTCTCACTTCACCAAGTATTATAGGTAGGTGGAAGATAGATAAAAGGATCCAAATATTTTAGAATTTGTATGGTACCATACATAGTAGGACATTACTTAGAGATGCAAATGTTTATATTTCTATCTAATAAGCATTGTTTATTAGAAATTTACACAAAAAATCGACAAAAAAATTTGATATTATTTTGCTGAGTTTATATTTTCAAGTAAGAAAAACCAATTTATAGCAAGAACTAAAAATAAAATACATATAATGTTATCTATTTAAATAAGAGTCACATACAGTTTAATAAATAATGAAACTCAAAACATTTTTAAGTTTATTTACTTCTTATGCCTCAGAATATTATTAAATCTTTGACTTCTTTAAGAAAATATTGCTCCTTTGAATTTCTATCTACTAAAACACTGTAAACTATTTTTTAATTGTTTTATTGCTTAAAGTATTATAAAGAGTATTATATATGTCTCCTTTTTTTCTCCCCTTGACCTTGTAAACTATTTTCATTATTAGCAATAAACATTTCTTCTTTTAAAAAATTAATAAGCTTGCCCCAAAATTCAGTAGTTTCTGTTGATTCCAAAAATAATAATTATGCAGTTTTCATAAATGCTGATTGATGATTTATCTGAGCTTCTTATTAATACCAAGTGACTGCTTTCAATTTTCCTTTTTTAAAACATTTTTTTCTTCATTTAATTTTCTCCCCTGTACCCTCCACCAATCTCCCACAATCACCATACTGTTGTTCGCGTCCATCACTTCTTTTTCTTTTTCTTTTTTGCTCATCCTTCTACTACCTTCTCGTCCGCCCAACACTCCCTCTCCAGAGCTGTCCACCTATTCCCTATGAGTCTGGGATAATCAGTTTTCTTGATATCTTTGTAATTGACTGAAACCGGATTCTTGAAGCCAGAAGTCAGTGGAATATCATTGTACATTATGACTGCTGACAAGCCATGCCAGGGATTGCAGTGGAAGAGTCACGGTCATGAATCTAACTCCTGTGCTGCATTGCCAGCTGTCAGTCCCTCCTCTGGATTCCAGGACTTTACTGAACCTCAGGTGTTGTTCTGTTCACGTTCTTTCTTTCTTTTTTTTCTCATTTCATTTAATTGCCAAATAATTTCCTTTTTTTCCTCATTCAATTCTTTGCTTCCACTGTTCTCTCTTTACTGCTAGAAAAATCTGACTCCTTAAATTACATTCTGGTTCAAAATATTTCACAATGGAATCCCTAATTAAAATCTAATAAAAATAAATCAATAGAAAGTTGAGAAAGAATAGAAATTCCAAATGAGCCAGGTTTGCTCGAATGAATTTCAATTTTCAAACTAAATTACATTCTTAAGGGTTGCCTTTCGTCTTCCCAGAGGACATTTTAGAAAATTATGAGAACTAAAGCTAATGGATTGTTTTTTTTGTTTTGTTTTGTTTTTTTCTTTATGTCAGGGCTTGAATTTTGTTTGTGTGCTTCGTTTTCAACAGATGATTATATCGGTTAAACGACTGCAGTATTTGTTACATGATTTCAGAGTCTGACAAGTTTCTGAGCCCACTCCTTTAAATCCCCCTGAGGTTCCTGTTCAGCGAGAGGAGAGCCACACATTCCGGATTGGGGAGGAAGTCATTGCGACAGAGGGTTGGGGCACTGAACACAAACTTGACCTACTTTGCCATTTCCCCTAGAACTGACACTGAATAGAAAAGTACGAGGATAGTGGCTTTTTTATTCTCAGGTTTTTGATCTGTTTTTCATTCTTCATTATGGTTACTGCAGTTCTGACCCTTTCAGTCAAGCACTGTCTTTTCCCAGACCTTCCCATAACAGGCAGCAGCAAATCCACCTCTACATAAGCAAGAACATGAAGGTAATGACTATATCTATCCTCTCAACAGCCATCTGCCAATCTCTCTCTCTCTCTCTCTCTCTCTCTCTCTCTCTCTCTCTCTCTATATATATATATATATATATATA